ATCATACGCTATCCAAAGTGTTACATAAGACCTTGGTAACATAGGCGGATGTATCACCCACTAAAGTGTTACCTATTGTTTATAATAACATTTTTACTACTTTCTGTAACACTTTTTTGGTGTCACTTAAGGTTAATTATGAACTAGTGTTCGGGGTATTTTAACCCCCTTTATAGACAAATGAGTGGCCGACAAGTGGCCCAATTATAAGCCAACATGTGGCATCCTGCTCAAAAAAAAGGCCAAACATGAGCATGACACGTGGCCTAAGAAAGACATCAAATAATGAGAGGAATTTTAAAGGGGGAAATGTTATGTATTTGTAAATATATAACAATGATTAAAATATTCTAAAAACACATGGTAGAGAGAGAAAGAGATAGGAAGAGAGAGGTATGTAGGTGGACCCCACCTATTTTTTAGTCAGATTGTCTCATGTAATGGGAGGCCACATGCTGATTGTTCCACTGTAAATAGTACCATTGACTCTTCAGTGGTACTATTTATGCATAAATTTAGTACAACTGAATGCATATATAATACCACTATATGCATATATAATACCACTATATGCATATATAGTATCACCGTATGTTCAGTGGTATTATTTTATCATCCGATGATACCACTCTCGTATATATGTGTAATTACATGAATGCCCTTTGCTATGCATTTCTACATGCATAACATTCCTCCATTAGTACTTGCTCAAATAATAAAGGGCTCAAAGCCCATTAAAGGAAGAATACCTAGCATAAAGCAAACCCTAATACACGTGACAACACGTTTAGGGCAACCGATCTTCCTAGGTTATGAAACCCTAGGAGCATGATCTCTCACACATCCCTATAAATACCCCATAATTCCATGATGGGAACAAGACTTCACAATTACCAAAGGCACAATGCCCAAAATATGCTCTCACTTCTCTCTACTTTCTATCTCTAAACTTCCGTTGCCGGTCACTAACTTAATTGTCGGAGGTGGATCTCCAGTAAGCCAGAGATTCGTATTTTTGCAAGTGTTCAGGCCGTTCGGGTGTTGCATTCCGGATCGGTCTCCCGAGGGAATTCATACCCCCCTTTCAGGTTATCCCAAAAATCCATGTAACACCCTATATCTTTTTTGTTTTTGCTCCATTGTATTTTTGGGGGGTCGAAGCAAGTTTAAAAATGTTTACCACAATTCCTCAATAATCTATATATATAATCACTAGTAGAAAAACACAAATCCGCACTGAGGAATTCGCACCGGTTCTTAAAAATCGGTAGGAAAAAAACAAGGCGGGATTTAGTGTAAGAGCAATGGCACTGGTTTAAACCAAACCTATGCGAATTTCTTGAAATGGCACTGGTTCAAACCGGTGCCAATTGTAATAAAAAAAACCCGCCCTTTTTCCTTCTTTCTCTTTCCCCACTTCTTTCTTTCTGTTTCCTTAGTCTCTCGTTTTATCTCTCTCTTCTCTCTCCTTTCTCCTCTCTCCTAAACTAGATCTCTCTCTTCTCTCTTTTATCTCTCTCCTTTCTCCACCACCGCCGTCCATTCCACCACCGCCGTCCATTCCACCCCGCCGCACTCTCCTCTCAGCTCTCTATCTTTTTATCCATCCCACCCCACCGCAATCTCATCTCAGCTATCTTTTTCTCTCTTTCATTTACCCTCGCACTAACCATCACGTCGGTGATGGTGACTGGTCTATTTCTTCGTCGGCGCCAAATCTTTTGCAATGGTGGTGGATTTCTTCACGAAGGTATGTGCTCTTCGATTTGAAATCTGGATTTTATGATTTTTTTTATTAATGATGAACAATTGAAATTTTGATTGAATTTAATGGTGAGAATGTGAGATGATAGGATTTCCGATTTTTATTTAATTTTTTGTGATTATGGTGACGGTGATCGGTGCTAGTGGTGGTGGGTTCTTGGGTGTGGTGGTGGTATAGTGGGTGAGGTGGTGGTATCGTGGTTGCGGTGGTGGTTTGTGGGTGCGGTGAAGGGTGTGGTGGTTGCGATGGTGGTTTCGTGGCTACTGGGTTGTTTCGGTGTTGCTGGGTGGTAGGGGTGTGTGGTTTCGGTGCTGTAGGATGGTGCTAATGGTGGTGGGTTATTAGTTTAATTTTTAGTTGGGATCTAATAATTGTTCTCGAGTTTTTCAATTTGTTGATTGCCTCTGAGATTTTATTCTTTTGCATAATTACTTGTTCGTCTTAAGATTCATCTAGAGTTTGACACTCGACTGCCCTCCTTGCTGCCCCACCGTAGCCCGGGCTCCTCTTGCATGTTGTTGCTGCTGTTGCCTTTGCTTTGTAATTTCTGCTGCTGAGTGCTACTCGTAGTTCAATTGTGAGGTTCACTCTCCCTTTCCTCCTGCCTCTCTCTATTATCTCTGGAGTTAGATTGTTGTTAGCTCACGAAAGGTCATGAAAAATGCTCCAACCGAGTCTCCCTGTTCGAAATGAACTTGCTTGCTGACATTTGTTGGTAGATTTCTGAAACCCTAACCTCTCTGTTATTTAAGTTTTCTAAATTTATTTTAATTCTATACTTAGAAGCATGCTTAAGGTGGCGGATGAACGATTCATGTTGTATACCAGCATACGTTGCTGGCGGGCTGGATTATTGTTGCTGGATTATTGCATGTAAGGGGATTGTTATTGTTATGAATGATGAGCATGTGTTCAATTAATGTGCCTAATGAACCTCTTTGAGCAGACATGATGTGTGTTATAGATATCATAATGCGTTGAGTCCCTTGGCCGTAAATAGTTACACTAGGATAATCCATATGATGAAGGGACTCACTTTCATCGTACAACTTCTCATTATGATTTGCTCCGGGTCGTCCGTTGAGTAACACAGTTTGAGAAGTTTTTGGATGAAAAAAAACCCCTGATGGATTCATACCATAAAATAAAATTGATTGAGAAAGACTTCATTCCATTGAACAAACATTGTGTTACAAATGAGTCTAACTACAAAAGTTTTCTAACAAGACTGCCCTAAAACAAAAGCCAAAATACAAAAGTACACCTAACCAACATGTTTTTAATAAATGAGTCCTATTACAAATGTTGCTTGTTGGTTATGTGTGGCAGTTGAGCATACATGATTTGCCTTTCTTTACCTAATCTGCATCCACCTCAAACTCTGTTGTGCCATGTTGGTCTTGAGTTGTGTGAATGAAATTGTTGTCGAGGTAATTAAATGCTTGGTCAATTACTTGTTAACTGACCTCTACTTGTTCCGGGAGCAAACCAATCCTTTCTAGTCTCTGTTTCCCAATGTGTGGGATCTTGTACTTGTTCCCCCCCTTCGACTTTTAAAATTTCAACCATGCACATTTGTAATGTGATCCAAGTGTATTTGTTTACACTAGGATGAAATTCATCATATGCCACCTTCACCCTCTCTACTAATTCATCTAAGTTTTGGGGGAATGCATGATGTTAAATCGATTGTATAGCTCAAAAGAGTCCCAAATCCAACACATTTAAGTCGGGTGATTGTGGGGGCTGATAAACAAATTGTATGTTGAACCCCCTATCTTCAGTGGCTGCCTTGAATTCCCAGTTAGTAGGGACTTGATGGGGCCTTGCATTGTCCCATTGTATGAGCACATCCCTAGGCAAACTCTCTAGCCACTTGCATTTGATGGATGGAATGACTTCATTCATGAGCATTTTTCTAATTTCATCTCTGTTCACATTCTGTGTCGCCTTAGATTCTATTGTGTCTGCTGGCCGGTTTTCACTAGCCTTCTTTGCTACTTGCTTGTATACAAAATGAAATCTTGAACATGGTATCTTTAGGGCAGCAGCCTATCTAGCCTCCGTTGTTCTGAGGTTCAATGGCATTGGCCGTAAGAATTCAGCTGTTTATTCTATTGGTTTTTGCCCGCACTTGCCAATTTTTTTGGACATCCACTTCTGTTTGAATGTTTTGTTGTGATGAATTAAAGTTGCCTTGTGTTGTGTTTTCTGTTGCTGCCATAAAATCCTTTCATCTTGTAAAACCATATCGATGTTGAAAAACTCGTCATCAGAATCATGGGAATCTTCTTCTGATGAATTATTTTCTTGTGTTTCTGGTGATGTTGAGTGGTACATTGCTGTGAGTAGCTCCTCCTCATCCTAAAACATCATCTTGATGCTAAAAAACCCGTCAAGGTATTCCGTAAACATGGCTATTTTTTTTTACAAGTCTCCTGCTTTAATTTTTTTTTTCTTCAGAATGGGGTGTTGTTAAAGATGATGAAGGAGTTGATGTTATTAATGTTGCTAGATTTTGTTGCTGAGAACTGGCTGTTGCTGAAAACGGGTTGTTGCTGAAAAACGGGTGTAACCTTGTATTTTATTTTATTTTATTTGTGTGTAACCTTGTATTTTATTTTATTTTATTTTATTTTTTTGGACAAAAATTGTAATATTACAGCCTTTTTAATGAAAATATGTAACTTTATATATATGTTAGTGTTTATATATCAATTTAAGTGAAAAAAATGCAAAAAAAAAAAATTATTTTTATTTTTCTGGGGCATTATTAAGGGCACCGATTTTGAACCGAACCGATGCCAGTTGTTTTTTTTTGGGGGCATTAAGGGCACCGATTTTGAATAGAACCGGTGCCAATTGTAATTAATACCAAAAAAAAAACCGCGGCAATGTTTTTTAGCACCGGTTAACCGATGCCAAAAATATTAATTCGCACTGATTAACCGGTGCTAAAACTAAGAATTGCCACCGGTTTTGAATCGGTGCTAAATTTTTTTTTTTGGCATCGCTCAAATCTAAACCGGTTCAAAACCGGTGCGATTGGGGGTTTTGAACCGGTGCGCATTTGTGTTATTCTACTAGTGAATGTCGAGTGAGATTTTATTAGATCTGTTACCATTTGTACCAAAAAAAAGAAAAAAAAATTAACTTTATGCATATAGAATTGGAAATATTTATATTTTAAGTTTTTTTTTTAGTATTGTGAAAAGTTAAACGGAGTAAACAATAAATGACAGATAAAGTAGTCGTCACTTCTTAGAGGGTGAATTTTGTAGTTTCGAAAGATATGATAATTTTGATAAGTAGTCATTACAACTACCGAGAATGTTCAAAAACCAGTTGGGACTAAAGAAATTACTACCATCGTTTCAGTGGTTGTTACGTATCACGTGTTACAGATATGTTCTTTTCTTTTTAAGTTATCTTTTCTAATGGGAAAGATTGCATCTTTTAACCTTGAAGATGTGTGTTTGGTTCCCATTAGAGACATTTTGAGAGAGTGAGGATATCTAAAGTGGTTAGAGCTTCCTTTCAAATTTTCATCTTTCCGTCCCTGTGGCTCTCTTAACAGCAGAAGAAAGATAGGAAAAAAAAAAAACTTTGAGGGCAAGGATCCGTGAGGAAATGGAGTGAAATGGATGTTGATCTTAGATGACTATAATAGTTTATTTTTTTTTATGACAATGGAGAAAACATACACGAAATAAGGCTTCAATCCCTAAAACTGAGCAATGAAAAGATGGCGACTAAATCTGGTAATCTTCTTCACTGCAATTCTTATTATAATTTCTTCACCTCTCTACTTGGATTTCGTTGTTATTCCAATTGCTCTAAATTTCTTGTTGTTGATGTTGATGTTGATGTTGATGATGACGACCCCAAATTGTTTCTCAAATTTGTTAGACAACAATCCAAATTAGGGTTTACTAATGTTGAAATCCCCCTTTCCCATTTCCACCATATGAAATCGATGCGACCTCTTCCATCTATCATTGATTTCTGTATGTTATTGAGTGCCATGTCCAAGATTAAACCCCATCCCCCTTTCTCCACTGTCATTTCTCTTTACAGGCAGCTCCTTTTCTTAGGTCTTCGTCCAAATATTTACTCCCTTAACATCCTTGCTAATTGCTACTGTCGTTTGAACTTTGTTGATTTGGGGTTCTCTGTTCTCGCCAACATTATTAAACTTGGTTTTCAACCTAATATTGTCACCTTTACTACTCTCATCAACGGCTTCATTCACTCTAATCAATTTGAGAAAGCCGTTCCATTGTTGGATAAAATTGTCAAGCTTGGCTTCCAACCCACATTAGTCACCTATGGTTCTATGTTCAAAGGTCTCTGTAGGTCCGGTGATAATGCCGGTGCTCTCAAACTCCTCAGAAACATGGAATCTTATGGACATTGTTTGCCTAATGTTGTCATTTATAGCACCATCATTGATAGTCTCTGTAAAGACCAGTTATTACCTCAGGCTCTCCGCCTTTTCAAGGAGATGAAAGTCAAGGGAATTTCCCCTAATGTTGTCACCTATACTACCTTAATTCGAGGTATGTTAACTTTGGGACAACAGAAAGAGGCTCAAGAAATGCTGACTGAGATGTTGAGGAACAACATAACTCCTGACATTCAGACCTACAGCATGTTGATTGATATGTATTGTAAAGATGGCAAGGTTGGTGAAGCACGGGACATTTTTGTTCACATGACTGAGAGAGGATTTGTTCCCGATATCATCACTTACAGTGCTCTGTTAGATGGATATTGTTTACGTGGTGAGATGGATGAGGCAGAAAAGCTTATGGATTTGATGGTTGAAAATGGTTGCAAACCTGATGTAGTTACTTACAGCAGCTTAATCAATGGCTATTGCAAGTCTAAAAGGATTGACAGAGCTCTTGGTCTACTCCAAGAGATGCATTTTAACGAATTAGCCCCTAATGTTATCACGTACAACACTCTTATAGATGCCTTGTGCAAAGACAATCAGCTCAAGCTTGCACACCAGTTTTTCAAGGAAATGGAAGCTCATAGACTGAAACCAGATATAATAACTTGGAATTCATTCCTTGACGGCATGTGTAGGAATTCACAAATAGATAAGGCAGTTGCAACAGTGAAGGAAATGGAGAGCACTGGAATGGTCCCTGATATTATTACATACAGTATCTTAATGAATGGTCTGTGTGAAGCTAACCGCCTTAGAGAAGCGGTGGATGTCTTCTCCTTTCTCACAGCTAAAGGGCTGCACGATGTCCGTGTTTACACCATAATGATAAAAGGGTTTTGTAAAGATGGGTTGCTAGCTAAGGCCGATGAATTATTGAAGAATATGGAGGACAATGGATGCCTTCCAAATGAATGCACCTTCAATACAATTATTAGAGGGTTTCTTGATGGCAAGGATGTTAGGAGAGCATTAGAGCTTGTCAGGTTGATGAGAATCAAAGAGTTTGTTGCTGATAATCACACGATATCATCATTTGTGGGCTTACTCGCTGATCCAAATATCGGTGATGCAGACAAGGATTTGCTAAAAATGTTTTTTGAGAACTGAGTGAGCAATAGTTAGGAGAAAAGGTGGAAGTAGCAATGAATAAAGTATATATGATCAGGCGTGATAGAGATGTGTAACATCAGGAGGGAATGTTGTAAATTAGTAATTCTTATATTTAGTGTGTTTTGATTGATTGTAGGCAAAGACCTTAACACTTGTAATTTGGAACATAGGCAAATGTGGATAACCTGTAAATTTTTTATCTAATTGTTGCGTTTGCTTTCTATCTGCCAGTGGAGTTGCATATGTTTTCTTACTACCTGATAACTGCCTTTGAATATTAGCGGTACTAGAGCTCAAGTATAGCTATATCTAAGCCATGGCACAAATACAAGAACATGACATTGAAGATCGATGACACCAACCGTGTTTACTTTGCAAAGGAGTCAATTTAACCATTTTATGTAATAATTACACTTGTTGCACACAATGATCTACTTAGTTTTTACTCAGATTGTTTTTTTCATGATGTATGAAGTTTGGCTGTTGACTGTTAATGAATAATTCATGGATTGTTTGCTTTGAATACGTACATATATTTTTTTCCCTATACAAAAGGATGATCTTACTAATGCTTAACTTGCACTCCCTGGTGCTACTGAAGTTAAAGATCAAGGATCAACACTCAAGACTTCCATTAGATATACTTCGTAATTGATGGCTTGTGTGAAGCTTTGATTTCCTTCTCATCTCTCACAGTTAAGTGCTTGCAGCCAGATGCATTTCGTAGTAAAAATCAAAGGACTTTGTAAATATGGTTTGTTGAATGGTGCCACTGAATTGCTACAGAAATTGGATGTCCTCTAGATGAATGTAAATACAATACAATTTTTTTTTTTACTTTTTTTTCAAGTATGTCAGCAAGAATTTGAACTTATTGGCGCTATGAGAAGCAAAGGGTCTGCAACTGATACATATACAACTTTATATGCCAGTGTACTCTGATAGTCTGATTATGCTGTTAATGATTCAGATAAGGCTTTAGCTGAGAATTTTTACAAGAATTTGTATTCGGCCTCTGATAAGAAATTTTGGTTTATGCTTGGTCTCTGCCTCTCTGGTTCTTCCCTTCTCTAGTTATGTATCCTGTAACAAGTATCATCAGTAATAACCTTTCTTTGGCTTGTTTCCTATAGTGCTATGGTCAAGCGAGCTTTGCATACTCCATTATATGTATGTATACTAGTCTGCAGTATGGAAGATGTGTACTCGGCGACTTTGCACTGTCACTGTTGTTTTTAGTTTGCTCATGTTGAAAAAAATAATGGGACAGAGACAGAAATTCGTTACAGCTTAGTAGTTTTACTATGCTCGGTTGCCTACTTATTTATTGATAAAATACAGGACTAGTACTTTATCTGTGATATGACTCCATAAATTCGCAGCATTCTACCACTGATGAGAGTGATGGCTAATATCATCTATCATACAGCCGGTAGAAATAAAATTAAAAAAAATAAATTATTATAAGACCATAAAAAAATTAAAAATTTGATTTCACCCCCTCGTAGCGGATTTATGGATGGAATCCGTTGGTGGAGTCATAACTAACATGTGTAAAATGCCTATTGGTTTAAAAAAATTTATTAAAAAAAATAAAAAGATAAATTAAAAAAGATAAAACCCTAAACCCAAACCCAGCTAGCTCTACCACCGGCACCACCTTTCCCCAGCCGCACTGACAGCCTAATCCAAGTCGTCGGAACCTCTAGCCCCCACCAAAACCGCCGAAACCAGCCCTTACTCTCTTCCCCCTCCCCGAAAATTACACCAACTCCGCGTAGCGTCACATCTCCAACCACAAATTCGCACCAAGCAACCCCGCAACAACCTCCGCCACTGCACAAAACCAATTCCCACCCCTTTAAACCACCGCAAATACCGATTCGCACCGATCCGGTGGATTATGGTTGGTATTTGCGGTGGTTCGAAGGTGATGGGGTTCGATTTGATTGTGATTGTGTTGGTGTTTGTAGTGGTTTGAAGGTGCTGGGGTTTCAATTCGGCGGTTGAGGTTTCGAATTGGTTGGGGTTTCAACGGTGAAGTTGTTGTTGCTGAGGGATGTGGTGATTTGCGGTGGGTTTCGCCTGTTTTGGTGGGGGACAGGTGGTGCCGTTGGCTGGGTTAGGTTGTTTAGGGTTTTTTTTCTTTTTCTTTTTTTTATATTTTTTTATTAATTTTTAAACCAATAGTTTAGTGACACGTGTCTGTTGTGGGCCCCACTAACGGATTCTATCCAAGAATACATTAAGTGGTGGTGAAATCAATTTTTTGGATTTTTTTTGTGGTGTTATAATAAAAGTTATTTATTTGTGGTGTTCAAATCAAATTTTGTGTTATTTTGTGGTGTTATTTTCTAAAAAATCCTTTTAGAGATGATGAAATAAATCTTAAGAGGATTGAAGTTTTTTTTTAAAACATTAGGAGGATTGAATTAGATTAATGAAGTGCCAACAATCGAGTCTTCATTTTCTAAATTAAACGAGGTATGTGGTTCACAAAATGGTATAAAATGGTATCTTTAAGTCTTATATAAACGAAAATTATTCGTATCTAGTTTCTTTCTGATTCCAAAATTGCTTATGAATTCATAACCTATGCATTGATTGTTTGATTTAAACTGTAATAGTTTAATCTAGAGGAAAATATCATCAGCATAAAAAGATGAGACATGTAAATAGAGCGAGTAATTTTCATAGATTTCCAAAGACCTTGTTCAATTATTATTTTTTCCTATTATCATAGAAAGACGATGCTCGAGACAAAGGACAAAAATATAAGAAGACATCGGATCCCCTTGTTTAATTTGATGCCTCTTGAGGATTTAAATTCCTTAGTAATCTCACCATTCTAAGGAACTGAAATTTGTGGAGTAGTGATGCAATGCACGATGATATTAATCATTGATGAAGGATAATTAAAACCAAGGAGAGTTTCATGAATGAAATTCCACTCTAAACTGTAATAAGCCTTATTTAAGCCCGACTTCTATGTTATTGTTTTTTTTTTTATTATTGCTTTATAAAAAATGTGAGCTATTTCCTTTATAATAATAGTATTATCCTCTGTTCCTTTTCCTTGAATGAAACTAGATTGAAGGTGGCTTCTTAATAACCAGTACAAGTTTCAACTTAGAAGAAATCAATGTTGTGACTAATATATATATATAATCGTGTTACAAAGACCAATAGATCTAACTTGAGATATATTACATAAATTGGGTTTTTCAATTCAAGGAATTAAAGAAATGTAAGATTTTTTTTAGTTAAAAAACTGAAGTTTAAAATTAATGATTAATTTTTTTACTATTGTATTTTCTACAAAACAAATATTATCAACATTATTATTCCCTTATTGATTTTTTAAGTGGTATACTTTGACTGGTACATAGTTTTAGGAGTTCAATAGAGTATTAAAAAATTGCAAAAGAAAAACAGTGAGGTTAATAGTTTATTGAAAAGTAATAAATATGAGTGAGAAAAAAAGTATAATGCTTGAAAAAACACGAGTGCATGTAACACTTTAAAAAAACATGAAGAGAGTATTTTCCATCATCTTTGGTTACGTAGTACAAAAACAATTTAATACGGAGTAGGATGTTGAAGACATAACAAAAGCTGAAAAGCATGTTACTATTTATTGGAAAGGTTATAGCTAGAATTAGATATTACTACTCATTCATATTATTACTAACGATTAACATAACTAAGGCTATTTATAAACTTATTCACATATTTGCTCTGGGTTAAAACTTATTTATAGACTAGATTAGCTCCCGTGCGATGCATAGATATAATAAAAAAGAATTTATAATTGTGTATATTGTCAAGTCACCTTATCACTCAAAACATAAACTAAACTACAAAAATTAAAATAATACTTGTATAGACAAAAGAAATTCATGTCTACAACAAAATTTAGTGGACTTTGTAATTAGACGAAGTGATCATATATATAAAGGGTTAATACTTGCTTTCCTTAAGATTAGCTGTACCTTAAGATAATGTACTGTATAAAAGTAATTTATAATCAATATTTAGCTTTTCAAAAAAAGAAAAAAAAGAAAAGTTTAGGCGGGAAAAAAATTGAAGAAATTGACATACATACAATTTGGGAAAAGAGATGATGCACCTAGATTTGCCGTCCACATCAGCTTAGAGTGCATTTAAAAAAAATAAAGCGGTAAACCACTATCTTTAGTAGCGGTTAATAGGATAAAAACTGCTACTCTGGATAGTGGTTTTACTATTTTTTACACTACAAAAGAAACTTGAATTTCTCCTTTTACTACTTTTGTAAAAAAACGTACTCCAACAAAAAGAAATTGAAAGAAAAGTCCCAACCGGCTGGCCGATGCAGGAGTTGGCCTCCTCACTGTCGTGCTTCTCTTGTCAAAATTCCAGTCACCCTACAATTGATGGTCCGGCCACTGTATAATCTATGACCTGCAAATTCATCTGAATTCAGGTATTAAACCCCAATTTTTATTTTCAAAAATTCAATGTATTGTTGAATACTTCTTCCATTCTATAATTGTGTAAGAGTAAAAATTATAAAAAGTTGATCGTGTGAAAGTATTTTATGAGGCGAATCTAACAAGATCCCACCTGACTATATTTTACTTAAAGTATAAATCATATTATACGGTCAAACAAGAGTGATGAATAGTGCAAAAAGTCCATTGTTGCAATATTAATAGAACGGAGGAAGTATAATTAAAAGTCCATTTGCAAAGTTATGCACAGCGGAAATACTTTATGATAATCTTGATTCATTAACTTGAATGTACAAGAAAGGTATATATATACATGTGATACTCTAAGAGATAATTCTAGCTAAATACTATCAATATTATCATGTGACAATATCCAACGCATACTTTCGTTGTGATAAAAATAGGCCTGTCGAGCTACGGGCCACCTCGATACCTAGAAAGTACTTCAACACTCCAAGATCTTTCATGTGGAAACACGAGTGTAGGTAAGCTTTAAACAAGTTTATAGACTTAGAATTATTCCCCGAAATTACTAAGTCATCCACATACACTAAGATATTCAACTGAACTGTACCATTAGTGTATGTAAACAAAGAATAATCTGAGTATGATTGAACAAAACCATACCGTTTTAAAGCGGTTACCAATTTAGCAAACCAACATCATGGAGCTTGTTTGAGCCCGTATAGAGACTTCTTCAAACGACACACCATGCCGGAATATTCTGAAT